CGGTACGGTTCACTTTTGGGGGTTTCCACTGGGTACAGTACCTGGTATACTTTTTTTAGTACCACCTCGGTTGAGGTTCCAGGTGAACCGTACCGTTACCAAAACGTGACGTGTAAACTCTGATCACGTATTAGCCGGAGAGAATCGTCACTACCTGCTCACTGAACTTGCGACAGAAACACAACAGAACCGCTAGATTTAAATCAGCACAGCCAGCGAAGGATCGAACGCAACTGTTTTGAACGAGCACACCTTTTTTAACAACCAAAAAGTGGCTGTTTCGTTGTCTGTTGAGGAAGTACAGATGTTCCTCTCGTTGATAGCAGAGGAGCGGATCCAGTGAGCTTGATGGGGGCGGAATGAATGAAAAAGTTTTTCAGGAGTCGCGGCAATAGAGGCGGCGCAATTATAACGACATGTGAATAATCCCACCCACTCTAAAGTGGTACTGAATTGCAGTGGAAACGCAAACCGAGCCGAGCCGAGCCGTGCCGTGTCGTACCACGCAGTGGAAAAGCGCCATAAATGGTTCCTGGTGATTTCACACCTAATTCTTCACCTTAATTCCTAATTCTTTTGCAGTTAACATGAATCTTTTCTTCTCCACATGTTTTTGACTGACCCTGCTGACCCACTGAGCATTTTGCTGTCCAATGGTTATGCATTAACTTTGCAATTTCTAGTATTGTATTAGTTTTGAATATTTCTCATGGGCATTTAATAATTTTTGACTTTCAGTCTGAGTTAAATCTCTTTTTTGGCTCATTTTATCTGTAAAAGAAAATCTGCTTAATAATTATGCACACCTGAATACAAGACATTTTTCACTTCCAGCCTTCATGAATAATTATATATCAATTATAAATTAATAAATATAAGACTAATAGTAGTTATTAAGATTGGTGTCGTTTGGAATTGGTAAAATGTGCTTGGAAAAAAATATGATCCGAATATCAACTTGCATAATAATTATGCATGCACTGTATTTTTCCTCTTCTGCTGTGGAGGTAATGCAAGGAATGTTGTGATTGGTTGTCAAGGCAGCCAATCAGAATTTAGCAGCCTCGTCTCTGATTGGCTGGAATTATGGCATATTGTAACGCTGGGTTGTGTTGAGCAAGCGAGCCGTTGGCATTTAGAGAGCACTGAGGGCAGGCATCAGGTGAGCAAGCTAGTGTGAAACGTTGCACGCGCAAAAGAGAAGGTCTGCACAAACCCAAATACTTATTTTAAATGCAAAATTGATTTCCGTGCGCTCTAAATACTTTCTTCTTTGCAAGACAAACATTTTCTCCACAAAACTCAGTTCGCAGAATTGTGGCAGAGATGTAATCCCATAAAAATACCATGACCCATTAATACTCCATGTTACACAGGAGTTAACATTCCTTAAATCCTGATTTATTATCGCAACATCGTCTGATAAAATCAACATACATCTACACTAAAGAGCAACTTTGTGGTGGTTTTGGCTATATTACACATCGTCGCATCACGCACCTGCAGCGCTTCTGTGAACGGAGAAAAACTGAAATTAAGTCTATAAAATGAATAGGACCACACTAAATATATAATAGGCTATAATATAATTAACAGACAAACAAAAGAAAAAAACTGTGCAACAAGTATACGCTCGTTTTTGTGACACTCTTAATGCATTTTATTTATTTTCTTTATACCTTTATTTGATGTAATCCATTTGATCACACAGGCGCCTCGCACACGAACAAACAACATTAGTTCTAGCGTTGCCTGACATTTTAGCCATTCATCATCAAACTAAAATGCAGTCAACCAAAAATAAAAGTTACACTGTTTATTTTAAAAGGTCCGCTGTAAAATCAGCATGCAGCACCCAAACAAACATTTTTGCGCATGTGAAGGCTTGTACACGGATATTAGAACATGAGTGAAGTATAAAGCCTTGTTTAGGCTGCTACATAATGAATAATAGTTTATTTATTTATTTAATTTATTTGGTCATTTATTAGACGCTTTTATCCAAAGCGACTTACTACAATTGATTGCTTCTGTTGTCCTCAATTGTATTAAAACAACTAAACACAGATCCAAAACTAAAAGCTAAAACTTTATAAATACTACCTATACACATTTTAAAATAAAGAGATTAAATAAAAATGACAAATGCATACAACAAAATTTCAAAACGTAACATATAAATGAAAAACAAAAAATAAAGCTAAAAACAATTCAAAATATTAAAGAACAAAAGGTATAAGAGTATAATAATGATTCTAACATAACACTAAGCCAAACACCAAAAAAAACAACTACACATGTGTATGTACAACCATACACACATACATATATATATATACACACACACATTTATAAATTCAATATATATATATTATTTCATTTCCATTTAGTTTGTTGAAGTATTAAAATAACTCAATAAAAGTAATCAAAGACCTATACAGGCATAATAAA